AAGTAGGTATGTATATATATATATATATATATATATATACACGGGTTATAAGGGCAGGAATAAAACCTGGAGAGTTAAAATGAGATAGTTTTTTTTTTTTTTTCTACTTCACTCTAAATAATTGGGTGCTTTGATAATGATGATGATAATCTGACATCGGGGTGAGATGCTAAGGTGAACCACCCTCTTCATACAAGAAAGCCACAGTAGGCCATTGGCCTTCTTGATCACGGATTGGCCTCGTCTAGATGAGTGCGATAGCTAACCTCTACCTCAAAAATAAAATTTAAGAGAACTGCTTAATTCGCCTAAAAGGACCCTATAATGGGATTGACGGAGTCATTACAAATCCTAAAGTTAGCAAGTAAGATAAACATGACCCTTTTCTTACTAAAAAGAAATGGGATTGTATACAATGAGACAATTTACTTTTGATATGAGGAGGTCATAATTACTTACAACCATATAATGCAAAATCTCACAGTTTCGATGTGTAACAATGTTTGAAAAAATTTCTTTTCAAGTTTGAGCTTGGTCAATGGAAAAAATGCTGCCATCTAATTTTATATCCAATTATTACGAAAATTTGACCACTTTGTGCCAAAAATAAATGATGTCATTGTATATTTTTCCAAAAGAAATGTCGCCTCCTTGTCATCAAAAAGAAAAAATAAAGAATGATGTTCATCGAGTTTCCTCCCATATGAGCATGTTAAATAATTGCTCCCTCAGGCAAAATAACTCTTTTAGTGTATTTTCTTATTAAAAAAAATTGGATTTACTTTAAAATCACTAGTTGAATGTTGAAAAAAAAAAAAAAAAAATGAATTTGTAAAAATTTTAGGTCTAACAGTCTCGAAAAACTGGATGGTTAGTAGTCATTCTTGGGATTTTAACTTTTTAGGCATGTACAAAGTGCATCGACTTCTCCTTGTTCTCTGACGGTGATATAGGACGTTACATACCCAAATTTTTTAGGTCATGAAAATATTTCTAGGTCTTGTTTGGAAGTCCATGTTTTTTGCTCTTAGTACGAGTGACAAACAGGTCGAGCCGACCCAATCCAAGTCCAGGTCCGAGTCTGAGTTCACGTTTTGGACCTGGTGCGGGTTCATGTTCCAAATTCTAGACCCAAGTCAGATTTGGGTCGGGTCTGCATCGATCTGAACCCGACTGAAGATATGTATACATGCACACACACACACATATATATAAAGGGAAAGGTTTGTATAAGATTGCGACCTTAAAATGTAGAATTAAAGAGCATCTCGAAAATCCATCATAGAAGGTTGTTTTGTTATTGGAAAACCTCTAATTGATCATCTCGACATCGAGATACATGAATACGAAAAGAAAAAAAAAATTGAGTCCCAATAAATGTGTATCTGATAACAAATTATCTAGACTGTCAATTTTCAAGATTTTCAAGTGTTTATAGATGTATTTGATTTGAACCATTTTTGGTGTTTTATGAATTTATATTTAGAGATAAAATAGATTTTCAAGCTATGCTAAGAATTTTACACCCAAAATTATGTTTATGATAAAATTTGGAGGTGCGCCTTAATTTGATTGTTTTAGGTAGCAACCTTATACAAACCACACCCTTTTTGGAATGGTGCGGCTTTTGTTCGGTTGTAACTTTATTTGTAGAAATAAGGTTGTAATACTCTATACTATTTAATATACTTGGAGATGTAGATTTGACACATTTTTTAATAAAATATCAACAAATTTTTTATAAAAATGTCCAATCTGCATCGTCCAAATAAAATCGATAATATAGATTACTGCAACTTTACTTCTACAAATAAGGTTACAACCTTTTATAAACCTTTTTTTTTTTTTTTTAATGTGCAATACTTTGCCTATATATGTAGGAAATGCATATAATGAGAGCATTTATTTTTGATACATGGATATCACTATCATCGTTGACCATTAGATTCGAAATCCAGTGGTTGAGGATGTTCATTGATTGGGCACAAAGTCCAAAATCAAAATTTCTTAAATATTATGACGCACTTTCATTTATTAAATTTCACATCCAATAGCTAAAAATGATTGTGACCTACTTATACTAAAAATAAGCAGTCTCATAGTATACAATCTCATAGAGGGATCACATAGCATTTAATCATAGTACAAGGAGGTCACAATCACTTTTAGCCATTTATTTTTTCAAAATATTTTCATTTAGGTTCTAGATCAGAAACCGAACTGACCTAGACCCGAACCGGGTCGGTTGTAAGACCAAATTTTGAACCCATTGGATCATACCCGGGTCCAAAAACATGGACTCAAGTTGGGTTGACCTAACCCATTATACCGAGGTCCCAGCCCATTACCACCAAGAAAATTCTTTAGGGAAAGTATATGAAGAGACCATTTACGTTTGGTACAAAGTGGTCACAATTAATATTGACCATTAGGTGTGAAATTGGGTGGTTGTATTTATTTCATTGTTCAAATTTAAAGTTCAAGAGATTTTTTGTTTAATATTATGATACACCCAAGCTATCAAATTTCACATCGGATGGTTGTAAATAACTATGACATCCCTATATAAAAGGTAAATGGTCTCATTGTATAGGACCCTAATTCTTCAATAGTTGCACCTAAATAGGTGGCAGGTTGGTTGGTGCACCATTACACGGAGGCGCAACACCAGATCCCGAAACCATAAAAGTAGATAGTAAAAATAGTTATTATTTAAGTGTTTAAATCGAATGTTGAGCGACTATTTTCATGAATACCCTCAAAGCTAGGAAAGATAAAAATGGGAGGTGGCCATTTGGACCGCCAAAGACGTTCTAGCTGTAATATAAATCTACGACTGCTTTTTATACTTTGTCATAATTACGTGGAAGAATTCAAACTATGAGTAACCATTTTTTCAGATGGTAAATCATTCACCTTAGTAACCACGTTGTGATTTTCATTTTCATCACTAACATCACCTCATTAATACTTTCAAAAAGATAATTCCTAATCTATTTAGAAAAATAGAAACGGTGTTTCCATTCTCACCACTAACATCACCCCACTAATACCTTTAAAAAACTAATTTCTAATTTACTTGGAGAAATGGGAAGGGGGCATGCCTTCCTTCCCCACATAATTACCCCAAAAAAACAAAAAACAAAAAACAAAGCCCAACCACTTTTGTGCCCTGTTGAATACTTCCCCTACAGAAGTGGCCTATGGCTCTTGTGAGGATTTTTTTTTTTGGCTTTTTTTTCTTTTTGGTCTGGTAGTAAGGATTTGGTCTTGTACCATTTTGGTGAGAATGAAAAATGGAGTCCGAGACTGCATTCATAAGGGGAGATGCTACTATCAACCCAGCACATTCTCTGTCACTGTGAGGACCTATAGGGGGAACATATAGTTTTATCTTTTCTTTTGAAGTGAACTACAAAAGAATGACAAGAAAACAAGAGAACGAGGGCACCAAGATTTGAGAATCTCTCTCTCAAGCTCGCACACACACATAATAGATATTGCCTACTTACAGTTTTGTTTTGGGTAAGGGTTCTGAAGGGCATTTCTTGCAACTAAGATCGAGTAATTAGTGTTATAGTGAGAGAATGTGTGTGCGAGTGAGGGAGAGAGACGTTTGAATGGCACAATTCCTCTTTTGATAAGTTCGGAGTAGTGCAAGAAACCCCAAAAAGCAGCACTACTTGTCACCCACAAACAAATCCTTGCGATCCCGAGCTCTTCTGCAACAACCTGCGTAAAGTTGAGATCCGAAATTATGCATGTAAGCGGAGGGACTTGTATGGAGTCATTGAGTTTTGAAACCAAATCCCTGTAAGGACTGAAGAAATTCTTCATCGTTGCATCAATGAGGCCTGCGGCATCTTGGGTCCGGACGTGGTCCGGCGGCAAGCCATCAGGGATTGATTCCAACTTAAAATCCTCCAAATTGTTCAATTCCATGGCTCCTCCTGATCTAGTAATACGCTCATGGTTAAATTCAGTGTTGACAAAAGTAATGTAAAAGCCTCTAGCATTGAGAATCTTAGCAAGGTGCATCATGGGGTTAATATGGCCTGGAGCGGGAAGTGGGAAACACAGGGCATGAGGTTTCTCTACCCTTGTAGACTCCATTCTCTCTCTCTCAAAAGCAATGAGATGTATTGCTCTCTGGCTTGGGCCAGGGCCTTGCCTTCAATTTATTGAAAGAGATAGAGGCCAAGGGACATCAAGTACCCCTTGGGACCACCTGCAATAATTTCAACTAATAATAATAATCATAATCAAATTATAATTATATTTTTTATTTTTATAACATGATGGTCTTTAACATAAAGTTAGTAATATTTATTTAAAGATAGGATTCATACAATGAGGTTATTTTAAATCTCTCTTTCTACTAAATATCTCTTCCACTAATTTATTCTAAAAACCCAAAAAATTAAAGAAAATTTGTACGCATTCTAATAATTTCAACATTGATAACCAAATCTTTTATTTTATTTATTAATTTTTGTATAATAAATCATGTAGTGTAATTTTTAGTAAAATACATTTTAAATTAGATGATATTATAAAATATTTTGGATTTGTTATTATTTATATAATAAAATAATTATAAAATATTGTTGGTATATAATATTATAGTTAGTTAGGTTGTAATAATTTTGGGTTTTTTTAGAAGATTGGGGTTTTTTGTCAATTCGAGATTTTAGTAGCCAAGTTTTCATCGATTTAGTCAACTTATTATTATAGTCCATATATGATTATATGCTTAATCCATGATAATTCTATGATTTCTTTTGTGTGATGTAAATTTAGTAGTCAACATAAGTTCATACAGGGAAAGAACATCTCAATATTTATAAATTGATGAAAACAATGAAAGTTAATAATGTAGTACCCCTATTTCTTATTGGATTCCTAAAAAACAACATTTATAATGAATTTTAATAATTTTTTTGAATTTTTTTAAGGCTTAATTCGAGCGATTCGGCCCAATTCTCGATCTGAATCGCCGATTCGCCGATCCAGATCGGTTTTTGGAATACCCGATCCAGGTCACCGATCTAATTTTTAAACCACTGGTTTTGACTATTCATCGAGGCTTTCAAAACGAGATATTGGTGTTTGTTAAAGAAATGAGATTTTGAAATCATTTCTGATTCATGGTAGTTCTAACAAAATGGGCACTGTAGATCACATAAAGAACAAAAAAGTTTTTGAATGAGGCTTGTACACTTCCTACCCCTCACACACCTCCAAAACAAAAAATAGAAACAGCAATTTGGAGAGAAAATTTGGTTGTCTATGCTTCGTGCCTTAGTTACTTTTAAAAAATATTCAAAATTTACTTTGGAAAGTACAATATGTAAAGGAATTGTATACAATGAGATCCTTTACGGATTGTACAAGGAGGTCAAAATTGGATATGAAATTTGATAGCCTGAGTGTGTCAGAAAGTTCGAAAAACAAATTTTTGAACTTTGTGTTTGGTCAATGGAATAAATGCAACCACCCAATTTCATATCCAAATGTCAAGATTAATTATGCCCACATTATACAAATAAATGATCTTATTGTATACTTTTCCATGTCTAAAACACCCGTAAATGTCAAAAGATTATAGCTCACCTAAAACGATGTCGATCTCAAACTTCAGATCTCGACCAGGCAGCATGATTTAGTTTTGTGCGGAAATTATGGGTGTCAACATCTAAACTCGTGCACCTCTAAAATAATTAAAAAAATACAAATCTATCGAAACTGAAATGATTGAAACTATGGGCATAAGTTCGAAGGGGTGCTTTACTTTGATTGTTTAGAGCCTGGCCTTTATACAAACTACACCCATCATATAACGCTATCTTGCTGCCTAGGCTCCATCGATTGTATCTATATGGTTGCTTTTTTTCTTACTTGTTTTTTTTCTCTTTTTTGAAGTCATTAGGATTGGAGGATGGGATGTTATGAATTTTTTTTTTTTTTTTTTTGTGATTGTATACTACGAGACCATATATCTTTAGTAAAGGCTCACAACTAGTCCTAGCAGTTAAATGTCTGATTGGATAGTTTAGGGTGTATCAAGAAGTTCTAGATGATCATTTTTGGGAAAGGTTTCTATACTTTCCCTACATTATAGAGGAACTATCCTCCCCTTACCATCCAGCTGTCCAATTTTGATCAAGAGAGCCACTCACAGTTTGATCTTAGATCCAACGTATCAAAGTATTTTATTTTTACTTTTTTTATATAAATTGTATGAATATGAAATTTGGCATGTGCCATCTTCTCATTGGGGCAAACCTATAAAAAATATTAAAAATAATTTTTCGATAAAATATAATAACCAAAATACCCCTTGAAGCTTTCAGAAGTATTTTGGTCATTTTATTTTATTGGAAATATTTGTTTATTTTTTTCACTAGTGTGAGTTTAATAGAGGATTGGACGTCCAAAATTTAGTGTCAAAATAGTTTATAGAAGAAATATTAAAAATAAAGTAGTTTAGAGACGTGACATTGTGATTGGGGCAATCTTAACTTTCCATTCAAAATGGACGGTTGATTAAAAGGAAGTATATAAGTTTTATGCTGTAGGGGAAGCATAGAAAGCTTGCGCATCTTTTTCGGGCTTTGTATTTAGTTCCAAGTACGCTTAGGACTATCCGATTTGAAATTTGATAGACACAAATAATTGTGATATCTTTGTACGAAAAGTAAATAATCTCTTTATTTTTTTTAGATTTTATAAGTCAACATGAATGGAGCTTGATTTTTATTTTATTTTTATTTATTTATTTATTTATTACAAGTGAACATCAATAATGCAGGGTGGGACGTTACGTCGTGGCTCGTGCGCCCCACAACAACCCAGCCTTAGGACCAGCGCCAGCCCCATTCCGTTGATCTTTATAATTACTTCCCCTAAAATATATCCCTCGTGCCTTCACTAATTAAGTAGTTGGAAATAATATAAATTATATACCCTTTAAAACAAGCGGATCAACTAATCACTAATTAATATTTTCTCATAAATAATATTTTTAATGCAAGTTGACTTTCTTAATTTTTTGCTAACTACTTCATGTGACAGTGATTGGTCACTCTCTTTGAAGTGTTCAAATTGCATTGTTAGTTAATTGCGTAAAGGAATCGTGCTTCTGCTTGATTGGTAAGCTGAAAAAATATTTTATAATATCAAATATACATTTATATATAAAAAATAAAGTTTAGGTCTGGTCAAGTTTAATCCTGACTTGATTTGGTCTTGGCTAAACCCGACTCAGGTCCATAATTTTAGGCCCCAAACTTAACTGCCATGTCATGGAACTGGACCCAAACCCAGATCCAAGTTAGTTTGATTGGTTGGGTCCGTGGTTCACATGATAAATTATGACAACCAGTTGAAATGTTCAAAAAAAAAAAAACAAAAAACAACCAATTAAAATGCGTACGAAAAATAGTGAATTTTTTTTAGTTTTTTTTAATAATTCAATGAGGAAGACAAACCCCTACTAATAAAAATGAAAACCATAACGTGATTACTAAACTGTCAGGGTGCTAACATCTTGCACCCTAAGCTCACGTTGAGAGGCTTCGAAGTAGATCATGTTAACTATGTTCAACTCGACAAAACGGTTTTTGTGGCCTATTCATAAAGTGGTGACTTTTTCGAAAAGCGGGATGCAATTCTACATTTACATTATCTGAGGTAGCAAACATCCATCTTTAAGATGGATGTAAAGTTGTGGTCCTCATGGGAACGTAGAATGTAAAGATTCAAATTATTTTTCAAAACTATTATTTTTAATTTTTTTTGAAAAAAAATATTTACATATTGGTGATCTACATGTTATAGATTACGTGTACCTAAAAAATTAGCTCCAAAATCTATCGCAAAAAAATATCTAAAAGATGGATGCTAGCTCTATGTGGGTCCTATGACTCACAAAAACCGTGTCCCCTTTTTTTATATATTATAAAGTCTTTGGAACATAAATTAATTAATGAAAAAGTTTATATAAGGTTGCAACTTTAAAATGTAAAATTAAAGATGCGTTTCAAAAATCCAT